GAAATGGTGCAAGTTCGTAACTTTGTTGTTGTAATCTGTGTAAATTTTAAAAAAAAATTTTTGCTTATGTTGTTAATTTCTTTATAATTCCTCTCTTAGTAATGTTGACCACTAATTTGTACATTAAAACTTTGGAAAGTATATTCTTAGTAATGATTTTATGTTTACACAATTTTCTAGATCTGTGTAGTAATACGCACGTATGTACATATATATATTTTTAATGAAATGTTTGGTTGGATGAATAATGCCCTTGTGCGACAGAAACAGGGCGTAGCACACAGTCCGATAATTAAAGTAATCAAAGTACGCGAAAACACTTGAAAACATGCAGTATGATTATGTTAATAAATGAGAGATTTTTCATTATTAACTGAGGAAAGGCACGAAATTTTAATAAATCATTTTTTCTCTCGGAGATTTCACTTCTCTCTGTCCAATCTATTTATAGATAAATTAAGCGATAAAGATAACAAACACACTGGAAAAGGCAGCGTTGCATTTATACTTTCGTTGGCTACAAGCAACCCAATAAACACCAAAAAATATTTGTCTTGGAGAAATTCATAGTTCTCCGAGTACCTTTCAAATGTTTGGAATTAATTAAATTAATTGAATAAACGAATATTTACCTACTTCTTTCTTTAGTAAATCGCAAAAAGATTGTTCATTTTTAAATTTAACGAACTCGTTGATTCAAACACGATTTGGTAATAATTAGTTCCAACTTGTACAAATTTTGTGCATAGTGAACACTCCTAAAGTGTGTGAGGAAATTGAAAGGCAAAACTGATTGTGTGGCGTCAGCGTTATGCCTGTATTATAATGGAAGTAACGGAACGGAGTGAACTTTCACTTAATTATCTATTGCATGGGAAATGAATGCAAATGGTTATAATGCACGTAAACATAACGTAAAACGGAACATTCTAATGGATTATAATGGAAGACTGCGTTTATACACGGAAACTTTTGTCGACGCTATTTTTCACATTCCCTTTTGGTGTTGCTCATTCCATTTACACACGACGATTTTTGTGTATGCAATTGTTGTTGTCAGCTGTGAACCGCTAACTCAATTTACACAGACGAACGAGAGCACAAAGCGTGCTGCCCGAGCACGAGCAACTCGGTGCCCCTCCTTTCCTCGTCACGCTCCCTCCTACAAACGTAGAGTTGCGGCAACAAAAATCGTCGTGTGTAAATGAGCACTAACGGAACGGAGTGAACTGTCACTTAATTATCTGTTGTATGGGCAATGAATTCGAACGATTATAATGCACTTGAACGTAACGTAAAACGGAAGCATCTAAAACCTTACGAATTCGCAGCGATTTGTTATGATTCGCCCGGTCCATTATAACCAAGGCTTTACGTGATTCATGCCCTGAACACACCTCATGTTTATCGAGAAGAACCGATTGTAAAAATTGGGTACCAATTTTCATAATCGAGTTTCTTATGTCAATCACTGGAATGATTTGTTGTTGTCAAATAAATTTGCTTTCTATAGTAAAGTTTTTTGTCCCCGTTGCTTTCACATATAAAAATATTACATCTTTGGTTAGTAGTTTAGTAAAATACAACGAATTTAATAAATATGTTCATCTGTTTCATAATAAACAACTTTAATAATATCCGTGTTCTAAAAATGCGCAGATACAGAGCTGAAAATGACGTCACTAGTTAAAATGGTGTATTTATGTAGAGAAACATAATTATTTTGATTGCATTCAGCCAAAAATATATAGCATTGAAAATTTAATTGAGAGACCGTTCACATATGAACGTGTCCATAAATGTAACCTTAACTCCCTCTTGGTTTATATTTATTTCATTTGAATAAATGTGCATACATAAGTATATATGTATGTATATTTTTTAGATTTGTCTACATTCGGGTCCAAGTACGTTCGCTCATCTTTCTTCTCCGTACCTGAGTCATCGCGCGAAAAATCTAAGTAATTTATTGTTTTTACATCAAAGAATGTTTCTACTAAATGGTACTGTATATACAAACATTCATGCGTACATAAATATATTTATGCCTCGACGCGTTTTTTAATAAATGATGCTCGGTATCTCTGTGTTCGGTAGTTTTTCCTAACGTAAAATAAAGTGTGAATAGCCCTAATGTACATTTGTATAAATTTACTAAGTTTTCCAAAGTACATAATGAGAACTAAGTATCTATGTATTTCTAATTTCTCTGATTCTCACGTTCATTTTAAATGAAATGATTGGTGGTCAATATTCATAGCATGTGCATACTAAGTTTGCATCCATATATGTACGTGCTTATATTATTTTTTATAATTTTTCTAGAATTGAAATACAATAATTAAAAATGAGTAAGGCAAATGGAGCTACTCCCCCACAATATACATATGTTCCGCCACCATCTGCGCCACCTTCTTATCAGGAAGCCGTGGG